GTACCAAAACCTAGATCAGAATTTATTCAGATTTATCATGTAATTATGGTGGATACTAAATATCAATGTCAACTGGATGAAGATTTAGGAGGTTAGTCGGATGCGTTTACTAAGATACTCGCCTCTTCATTGATAACTGTGGCATTGCTGAGGGACCGCAATGCGGAAGTAATCTTCCGCCCCAAATCTGCTAAAACCATGGTTGCGGTTTAACGAGATCAATGACGGTTAAATACTACTTTTTCTTCATTCGCAATCAAGTAGTTTGTTTTCCCAACACAGCGCAGCCATGCACAAACTGTCAGCTGTCTGCAGTTTCTGCAGAGCCAACAAAGCAGATGAGACACTTGAGCCAATCTCAGACTTTACGAATTTGAATTAAATGCGATCTATGTCCTTTCTCTCATCTTATGTCTAGAACCTGTGTCTATGGTAACTTGTATTTTCTATTAAAATTTTCGAAATGTCTGCACATTGTTTCAGTTTATTTTCAAAGTAAGGCAAGTTTTTTTTCTAGCTGTTACTCCACAGAATGCGATAGACTACAAATATGAAAAATTGTATGGTCGGAAGTTCACGTGTCAGTTTCTTTTCATTTCACTTGAGCGCTTGAGCGCTTGAGCTCTCTTTACAGTCTGCTCTGACCAGCTCTGACTCTGACACTACTTCGTTTCAGTCTCATCGCACTCAGAGGCTCAGACACATTAAACTGATAGGGTTGCCTGACTATTGCAAGTGAAATTGAGTGAAGTCTAGAACGGCGCAGGAATTTCTTAAAAAAGAAAAAGAGGCTCTAGTAGAATATAAGCAATGGCCCAATCTGCGTTGAGAGGTTTATGTTCGCGTGCTCAATCATTTAGATTGTTTGTCGTACCTCAGAGATGTCACTCCCTGTCAAGACCCTTGTTTAAAAAAGAAGAGTGAGTTTGTCATTTTATATGGCTAGAAATTAAAACTTTAATATAAAGAACTGCAATTTAACTTTAACATTTTGCACACTAACCTTGACACTTATTTTTACCCGTAATAGTGTGGAAGTTACTTTTATCAAAGCAAGTGGGGAAGCCATTAAAACCAAAGGAAAAGAAGGAGACAGCTTGTTGGATGTTGTTGTCAACAATAACATTGATCTGGATGGTTTTGGTAAGATGCACCAGTATGAATAATTATTTTAAATTTGGTTCCCCATGAAACAAATGTAAATGATGTGTTTTTTATCTGAATAGGAGCCTGTGAAGGAACTCTCACCTGTTCTACCTGCCATTTGATCTTCAAGCAGAATGATTTTGATGAGTTACCTGAAAAACCAACCGATGAAGAGCTGGATATGCTTGATCTTGCTTATGAGCTAACTGAAACGTAAGCATATTATTTATGAGAATTTTTGGTTTCCTTTATGTACATAGAGATAGTTTGTAGATAATATAATCTTTTTAATGTATTTGCAGGTCACGTCTGGGCTGTCAAATCAATTTGTCAAAGAAACTCAATGGATTAGAAGTGAAAGTTCCTTCCACAATCAATGATGCCCGCAGCAGTTAAGATGTAACTGTCTTAGGTGATAATTCTTGAAGGTGTCTTCACTAAAAACTCTTAACTTCCTAAGTTTTAAATCCTGAAGCTGTGAAATGCACCTTTGTTGAGTTGGTTGGATGCATTGTTCCCAAAAAACACGAAAAAGTCACTCTCAGCCATTTTCCAGTTATTCACTTACGTCCAGTGTGGACTGGATAGTCAAAATTTAGGCAGAATGAGACTTACTTAGACCGTCAAAAACTCAAAGCTGATTAAAAGTGAGTCTTTTGTGTTTAATGGTTTTGTTAGTCTTGAGTACGTTAAAATTGTTGCAAATGATTAGTGTAATCTGCTGCACAATTACAGATTGTATTCAATCACGTTCAGTGCGGCGCAACCACAATGTGGTCACCTTTTTTGCCGTGTTTTATTTTTCAACCCTAGATATGCTCAGCAGCACTGAATATGATAATGTATGTTTACTTAACATCTGAATTTGTTATGATTTTTTCTTTGTTGATCCAAAGAATCACAATACTGCTGTGCAACTTTGTGAAAATAACTTTATCCTTTCCTAGTTGTATTATCCCTGTTTGAGATTTTTATCAGTTGTACAAAGATTTACATGTATTTACAAACAGGTATTCAATTATATTTTTATATTGGATTTCATAATTTTTTTTTATTTCTAAAAATTATTTACCTGTCTTATCTTTTGTTGGCTGAAGAGCACTACATTCTGGAAGTGTAATTGTATGATTGATAGAACATTGGTGGAGTATTGATCGTTTGTTCTTCAGGGGAGAAAAAAAAATTATTGCCGAAACCCGGGATTGAACCGGGGACATTTAGATCTTCAGTCTAACGCTCTCCCAACTGAGCTATTTCGGCTGATGAGTGCGGGGCTGGTGTGACTGATACAAAGCGGCGACGTGTTTCTCATCATCCTGTGGCCGCCTTCGGAACGGGGCAAGGTACAGTAGAATTAAGGTCATGTTGGGGCGAGAGAGAAGGAGAGAGATTCCGAACGCGCCCCGTATCCGATTGGGTGACAAAAGTCGTAGTAGTAGCTGTCCTTTGGAAGCAATTCCTCTAGTTTTGAATTTCCGGGTGATGATTCAGTTTTAGGAACTAGGCAGACGGCGTTGCTGGCAGTAGCATGGAGGAGCGTAGATTCCAGCTGATCGGGCGGCAGACGTTCTCGGATGCTCTAGGATGCCCAAGGTCGCAGCAAGCCGCGGTACACACGCCCCCAGCCCCTCCGGCTGCTATCTGCCTGAATTAGCCAACCACTGAGAGAAAACAAAGTGTGTATATCTTTGTTAGGCTCTCCGGCTTCGACGCTAGAGCTTGGGAACAGATTTAATATTGGTGTAATTTGGGATAGCATTGTTTCTTTCTCTTTTTTTTGGGGGGGGGGGGAGGGGCACAAAACGCACATCTTTAATTTGGTCTAAAGCACCCTGGCGGTGGTACTCGGCGGTACCTCCCTACACTCACATATCAGCACACACCTGTGTAATATGTGCGCGATGACGTATAATACCTTCTGATGTATTCCCGTTGACCTTGTCCACTGCTCAACGTCCCGGCGGTCCCGGCGGCCGACCACTCTGTCAAGTGGCTAGAGGCAGGGGCCATCCGTAAGGGACTTCCCTCCATGGCCTCCATAAGCCATGTCTAAACGCCGAATCGAAGTCCCAAATAAGTCGAGATATAGTTAAAATAATTATTCTTTCGACGAACCGATTTGATTTGTGCAGTGCGCGCATTACATGCGCATTTAAAGTGGTAAAGCACATTAAATGCACCGATAATGTGTCACACGTTATGCGCATTTTTACGCACGTTACCCCAGAAGCGCTACTGCATTAAATGCGCTTCAATGCGCATTGAAATGCACATAAAAGGTCACACATTGGTGACGCATTAAATG